TCTCTCTCTCTCTCTCTCTCTCTCTCTCTCTCTCTCTCTCTCTCTCTGTGTGTGTGTGTGTGTGTGTGTAAGTGTGTATGTGGTCAGAGCTTGTGTCGGTTCTCACCTTCCCCATGTGGGTCCCAGAGCTTGAACACAGGCTGCGAGGCTTGGCAGCACATGCCTTTACAGTGAGTGGCTAGCAATCATGAAGCTTACCTTTGACCCCAGCATCACACATGACCCCAGCATCACACACAACCCCAGCACCACAGAAACAACTGTTTCTGACCTGTTTTTAAGCTTGCACTACTAATTAGCAAGAGGATGCTAACGTGCTATCCCAATGGTGTCTTTTCTCCTTGTGTGCAAGACCTCTAGAGACCGTCTTCACTAAGGGTCTATGGATGCGTTCACAGAGCACTTACCCCTTAGAGTGTCAGCTTAATGTTTTCTAGAGCCTGGGGCTACTGGGAAGAGTTCAGAGCAACTAAGGCTACATTTTGTTATTACAAAAGCATGCAAATAAGAATATGAAGCTAAGTACATGCTTTTAATCCCAGCACTTGGGAGGCAGAGGCAGGCAGATCTCTGTGAATTTGAGGCCAGCCTATTCTACAAAGTGAGTTCCAGGACAGCCAGGACTGTTACACAGAGAAATTCTGTCTTGAAAAACCAAACCAAACCTAAAAATCAAAACAACAACAACAAAAAGCATATATGTAGAAAAAGCTGAACAGACAAGGATGTTAATCTCCCCCTTTAATTTCATTTTTTTGTGCTCATTCTGCTGACTTCTGCTCATAGCTCCTAGATCAAAGCCTGTATGCATTAGATGCTCAATAAATGCTCAGTGAATGAAGGCGCTCATGAATACAGGATGGCTCTCCTTCTGAACCTTAACAATATGTGCATGCTTTTCTTCATTGATAGGACTGATCACATGCTAATTTTTGTCACCTATGTGAACCTTATTCCTGCATGGAAGCGGTGCCTCCTCATTCTCCCTCTCCGGTCACTCCTGCCGCCGACTGAGGCACTGGCAGGCCTTTCTTCTTCTGTTGGTCCTCACTGCCTCCTCCCAGGCCCTTTGGATGATTTCTATTCATGTCACCTGCTTTCTCCTCGCCCTAAATGCCACCCACACAAGGCATTCATTAGTCTACAGATGTTCACTCTGTGGGGAAGACAGGCTCAAGCATGCCTGCAGTATTTCCTTACCATTAGCAAGGGCTGTAAAGGTGGAGCTTTGGGGGTGTGGAGCTTTGGGGGCTTAGGATGTCTTGTTTAGATTTGGAGGGAAGATCTGGGGTGAAAGCAGGGTGTGGGGGAGGGGAGGCAGGGTAACTAAGGAGCAAAAAGAGCTGGTATGGGGTCAGTGCTGCAGCAGGCCAAGCAAAGGGGCAGGGAGTCCATCCAGAAGACCCACCCAATGTTTTTCCTTTGGCTATGACCAGTCTTTCAGGACCTTCCCAGCAGGAGCCCTAAACTGTGACAGAATTGCTCTCTTTGGTTGTCCAGAGACGGACTGCTGTAAACAGAGACTGCACTTTTGTTCCTGGCTGCCCAGACCCGAATAATCGCACAGAGGCTTATACTAATTGTAAATTGTTTGGCCTATTGCTTAGATTTATGATTAACTAGCTTTTACAACTTAAATTGACCCATAATTCTTGTCTGTGTTTAGCCATATGATTTGGTACCTTTTCTCAGCGAGGCATTCTCATCTTGCTTCCTCTGTGTCTGGGTGGTGACTGCATCTCTGCCTCTCCTATTCCCAGAATTCTCTTAATCTGGTCGCCCCACCTATACTTCCTGCCTGGCTGCTGACCAATCAGCGTTTTATTAAACCAATACGCGTGACAAATCTTTAGAGGATACAGGAGCAATGTCCCACGGCAGACTGTTACAGATTTATTTTCCCTTTGGAAATCATTTAAGAAAGAAGTTTGCCTTTGCCAGGCGATGATGGCACACACCTTTAACCCCAGTACTCAGGAGGCAGAGGCTGGGGAACTCTGTGAGTTCGAGGCCAGCCTGGTCTACAAAGTGAGTTCCAGGACAGCAGAGCTGTTGTACAGAGAATCCCTGTCTTGGGGCTTGGGGGAAGGAAGAAGCTTGCCTTTGAGCAAATCCTCAGCCTTCAGAACCTCAGCTCTCCAAAGTAGGAGGCATGTGTTTGACCCACAGGCCCTCTCTGGCCTCTGCCAGGCCATCAGGTGATAGTCTGATGGATTAGGGACCTGAGTCAGAGCAAGTCTTACTCTCCTATAGGCTTCTGGCCTCTGTCTCCAGGCCAGGCATCCTAGAAGGGGACACTTCAGGGCTGGACTGGGAATAGCATGTGGGAAGGGCTGCAGAGGTGTGGACGCAGCTGAGGCCTGAAAGTGGCCAGAGCAGCTGGAAGCACAGACCCGGTGACAGCAGCAGCAGTGGTGTCAGTGTGGACTCCATGGACTCCTGCCCTCTGCCAGCTGTCTTTAGATGTTCTATGTGCACTGACTCATTTTCCCTCTTAGTGATCCTGAAAGCGGGCGATATTTTTCCTCCTTTTTTTTTTTATTAATTCTTTGTGTCTTTCACATCCTGCATCTCCATTCCATTCCTTTCCCTGTTTCTTTGTTTCCACCTTCTGCTCTTGCAACCTCCCCTGCAAAATAAAATAAAATAAAATAAAGAGAAAAAAAGAAAAAATAAATCCTGTCATGGAAGCTGCAGTGCGACACGGTGAGTCGTGCAGTAGACATAAATCTTTCCTGGCAAGTGTTCATTGCAGAGCGTCATTGGTCTAGTTCGAGGCCCCTGGTTGCCGCTACACTATCGATGCTGGACCTTCATTCCTGGTTATGATGCTGTTGGCCTCTGTTGTGGAACTCCACAGCTTTGAGTCAAAGCAGGCAATATTTATTCCCGTTTTACAAATAAGCAAGCAGAGGCACAGAGGAAGATCTATGTTCTTGCCCAAAGCCACGCAGCTAGCACTGGAACCTGACTTCACGTATAAAAGGCACACATGCGGAGAAGTCCATCTCTGGACAGCCAAAGAGAGCCATTCTGCCACAAATTTAGGGCAGGTCCTAGAAGAGGGGGCCACAGCCAAAGGAGAGACATGGCTAGATCTTCTGGGTGACCCCCCTGGCCCCTTGCTCTGCCGGCTGCGGCACTGGATAGTCCTTAAACAGCGCTCAGTCCATCCTGTTGACTTTGGGAGGTATGGCAGGTGTTTGAGGGAGGAAGTGCTGAGGGCTTGGGATGTCCTATGTCTTACAGAAACCATCCGCGGATCAACCGCTGTACAGCAGCAGCCTGTGGGGGCCAGCAGTTGATGGCTGTGACCGCGTGGCTGAGGGCCTGTGGCTGCCGAAACTACACATAGGGGATTGGCTGGTCTTTGACAACATGGGTGCCTACACCATGGACACAAAGTCCGTCCTCGGGGGGACCCAGGACTACAGAATCACTTATGCCATGTCCCGCCTAGCCTGGTAAGGGGGTCCCGCTGTGAAGTGGGTTGAAGGGAGCCAAGTTGGGCAGAAGCAGTAGTGAGACAGAGCTGAGAAGCTGCTGTTCTGGAATCCAGTTTGACACGGAGCTCCTGGCCGCCTAGGTGAGGCCTGTGCTGAGCATCTGGCTCTGGTCAAAGGTGAGGCTGCACTCTGTAGGGGGCACACAGTTCTGTGACTGGTGCCATACTGGAGAGGGGCTCCAGCCCTGTCGAAGGCCCAGGCCTGCTCCCTGAGGAGGCGAGGGGCAGCAGGCAGGTGGGGGAAGGAATGGGGTGTATCCCTCAATGGAGGTTGCTTGTGACTGTATAGGGAGGCAGAGTCAGATTTGGCTTCACTCTGCTTTGGAGGCGGAGTGAAGGTTGCAGAAAGCAAGGGCAGGTTTGAAGTGTGGTCTGGTCCAGTCTGGTCAGCATTTTTGAAGACCATTCTAGCTGGGGGTGCAGGTAGGAGACTGTGAGCAGATGTGGGCTGGAGGTGGCAGCCAGGTGGCAGCTCTGTGACCAGGGAATGGCTTGTTGAGTCAGCGACCTCAGTCTTTCTGTCTAGGAAGGGGCAGTAATGCCAGTCTTGTCTGTCTCCTGCAAGGTGAGAGGCACTTGAGGTGGAGGTCGCCAAGGCCCGTGGAGCCCCCGTGCCAGCCCTGTGCTGGGCACTTCACCTTCTGCCCTTTCACTCCACACAACTCTGTGAGGGTCAGCGCTATTTCCAGAGAGGCCACACAGTGGGTGTCAGGCTATGGCAGGACTCGGAGGGCGGGACAGCTGGGAGGGACTTTTATGTAGGCCCCCCGAACTAAGTGGTGTCTATATCCGAGAGCCCCCAGGAGTGTCACCAAATGCCAGGTCTGACGGGACACCAGGAAAGTCACATCCCATTCATCCATTCAACGCAGCTGTTGTGTCTACCCTGTGTGGGGTACAGGGCAGGCCCATACAGTCATTTTGTATTGTCAAGGGTGTATCTTGACAAAGCCAAAAATCAAAATAAAAACAACGTGTAGGCTTCTTTGTGAGTCCCCAACTGTCACCAACAAATACAGGTGGATGAGGTGGCAGAGAGTCACCTGCATTCGTTACCGGGAGCAAAAATGCTGACACGGAGAAGTGGGCATGTCAGAAAGTCTCCCCATGTCAAAGGGCCTCTAACATGGTTTGCTCTGAGGCCTGTTTTTTGTCAGGCCCCGAGGGCACAGGAGTGTCTAATGTCGACTGAGCTAAGGTGCAGATCAGTACCCAAAGACCCTGGCACAGAGTGGGAAGGACCCTGGGGAGGGAGGGCTGTGGGCTGAGAAGGGGTGTTCATGGAAGGGTCTAGAAGCCATCTAAGCCTTGGAAACCTAGGTAGCCAGGACAGCCAAGAGGGTGTCTACAGAGGGAGGAAGCCTGAGAGGGCCCAGTTCTGTCACAGAGTTGCCCGTAGCTCTGTCTCTCAAGCAATGGCGTTCAGGGAAGAGTGAGTCGAGAACCCCGGAGGCCTAGCCTAGACTTGGTCTTGAAAGGGGCCACTGAAGGGTTTTAAGAAACTGGGCCAACCTACATTTGCAGACAAGGAGCCGAAGGTGCAGAACCTCCCATCTACCTCTGACTCTATGAAGCACCCAAGAGAGAGGTCTTCCTGCCTGTGGGGGACTGGAATGTGCTGGAAGTCTAGAAAATGAATAGGGTGGGGAACTGGGTAGGAGAGGGAGGGTGGAGCCTGGAGGAAAATGGGTAAGCTGGCATGGTCCTTGTGCTGTTTCCCCACCCAGTGTCCCCACAGCATCAACCCCTGTCTGCCCAGCGAGCCACTGTCAGGTGCTAGCCTAGCCTCCTGCAGCATGAGGGATTCAGCCATACCCCCTGCCCTGCTGTCGGTGAAGGGATGTCAGGAAGGCAGGCATTGAACCCTTGCTCTCAAGGAGAGGTGCTCTATGAGTAGGGCTCTGAACCCGGATGCTGAGGAGGAATTAGTCAGCCAGAGCGGATGACATGCTCGGGACAGCATGGCACTGGGAAGGGATGTGTGAGAGCTGCTCCGGCGGCCTCTGGGGGTGCCACAGTGAACACTGGGGATGCACAGGGGCCAATCTTGTGGACTGAGTGTGGCAGGAGGTGCTGGGGGTGCGAGAGAGAGTCTGCCTTTTGGAAAGATGAGTGTATCTGTGCTGAGTCTGTGTGGAGGAGCAGGAGCAGGTCAGGGATGATGGCGGATCCCAGAGAGAGACAGAGATGCGGGAGTGGGTTGCTTGGGAGCTGGGCTTGGCAGGGCTGCCTGGGTGTGGGCTGGAGCAGCTGGTCAGATGGTGGGACTGCTCATCCACCCGGGACGGAGGATAAGAACCGGTTTGTAGGATTGGGGCGAGGCAGGCAATGGGCTATTTTTTAAGCCCTAAACCTGGGGTGTGGAGAGCTGGGCTTATTCCTAGTCTCCCCACCTGTTAGGGAGGAGTCTTAAGCAGGCTGCTTCTTTCTGAGTGTTTCCTCTTTGGGAAAATGGAGATGGTTTGGTTTTCCTGTGGTGCTTTTGGAAGAAAGAACTTAGGTAATGGGGTGGTGGGGGTGGGTGGTAAAGTGACTGACGCCATGTCTGATGCACGGACAATCTCAATAAATGCAAAGCCTTTCCTTTATTGGGTGGTGTGAGCCACAGGGGAGAGACAGTTCTTGCCCTTGGCTGGGCTTAGGGATCAGGTGAGAATCCTGTGTGTAAGGAGGCCAGGGCTATAGAAGCAGGGGCCACAGGAAGCCCTGGGACTCTGTCCCCATGCTGGCTGCCTTCACCTTTTGTCTCTTGCTCTCAGGGAAGCGCTTCGAGGGCAGCTGCTGCCTGGAGAAGACCAGGACGCCGAGGATGTGTGCAAACCTCTGTCCTGTGGCTGGGAAATCACAGACACCTTGTGTGTGGGCCCTGTCTTCACCCCAGCAAGCATCATGTGAGCAGGCCTGTTTTCCCAGAGAAGCCCAGCGGGGCCAAGGAGATGCCTCGGAAGAGGTGGGCAAGGTGGCAAGCTGGTACCCTCTGGCCAGGACTCTGGTGCTTGCTCTGCCACCCCACGCTCCACCTGTAGTGTTTCTGCCCTGTAAATAGGACCAGGCTTACACTCGCTGTAGTTCAAGAGTATGCAACATAAATCCTGTCCCTTCCAGCCGTGTCTGCCTCTGCAGCGTGAGGGGCCTGGCCAGCCAGGCATGCGGGAGGGTGTGCTTGGGGGTGTCTCTTAGTCTCCTCCCCACCTTTGTAAATATGAAGCAAATAAATATTTAGGTTTTTAAAAAAATTATTCAGTGGAATCATTCACAAAGCAGCGTAGGCAAGGCTGAGAGAGAGCCTGGCCCACCTGGCATGTAGAAACCTGTTCCTCACCTCAGCCCTGTCTGTTCTCCTGAGCCCTAGAATCACCTGCTGGTATTTGCTTCTCTGACTCATCCCTGTTTTTCTCACAGGCCTCCATGTTTGGTGTCATGAGGCAGGGTGAGTTGCCTGGTTGAGGTAGGGGTCAGAGTTATGACCTTTCCTAAACTTATGACTGGTTGTGGTCTCTGTGTGACTCACCATGAAGGCTAAGGCCAGGCCCAGAGAAACTCCGGAAAGAGAGCAAAGGAATGGGGGTTATTGTTTTGTTTTGCTCTACTAGGGGCTCGAACCCAGGGCCTTGGGCATGCCAGGCCAGGGCTCAACTACTGAGCTACAATCTTGGCTCTACTTCCCTGCCCCCAGGAGGCTTTCCATAAACTGTGCCTTACTCTCCTTCTAAGCTGGCAAGGCAGAGTAATCCTCACGTTTGGCTTGCTCAGGCAGCAACTGCTAGAACAAGACTGGCACAGAACATTGTGCTGTCCAGTACCACGGGTCCCAGTGCCTCCTCAGACTGACAGTTCTTAACAGGACACAGGCCTCTTTGTACTTTCATGGTCTTAAGCTGCGGTGTGTGTGCTGAGCAAAGTTGTTCAAATTTAGACTTCTCCCAGCTCCTGCAGGCTTCCCAGAGCCTCGTCTTCCTGAGTTAAGGGAAACTGAGACAAAGACAAATGCCACAGATTTACTTTTTGGAAAATTATTAATTTACTTTTTGAAAAATTATTATTTATTGTGTGATGTGTACAGACATACATGAGCCATGGTGTGTGTGTGTGTGTGTGTGTGTGTGTGTGTGTGTGTGTGAGAGAGAGAGAGAGAGAGAGAGAGAGAGAGAGAGAGAGAGAGAGAGAAAACAACTTTTGGGAGGTGCTTCTTTTCTTCCACTGTGTGGGTCCTGGGGATTGAACTCAGGTTGTCAGCTTGGCAGAAAGCTCCTTTAGCTGCTGAACCATCTCACTGGCCCAAGTTCATTCACCCTTTAAAATGTAAGGGTGAATACTCCCAGTGTATTCCTAGCAGTGAGCCCATACCCTCCATGCCCTCTCCCCGCAACCCTAGCAACATGACTCTTGCCATCTTTGTGCCTTGCCCATCTGGGGCATTTCACTATGACGTTTACCTTTTGGGGAGCATTTCTTGGGCTAAGCCTGGCTGCTTGGCTTCAGAGTTTCAGTCACTCTGGGGCTTGTACATGACTTTGACATTGCCGAATGAGTCAGTGTGCCATGTGTTCTTCAAAATCAAGGGTGTCTTCCTCTCTAAGACTGGGTCTAGTCTTTGCATTTTGAAAACGAACAGGTTGAAAGCTTAGGACATCAACTCAGGAATGTCGCTGGGAGCTCTTCCCTCGTCCCCGCCAGGAGCTCTTCCCTCGTCTCACCAGCCACCAGAGCCATGCTTTATAGGGACTTTCATGTCGGCCTCAGCATCTGTGAGGTCATTCCTGAAATGACCACATCAGCTGACTGAGCAGATCTGGACCCACTCATGCTTCATTTCTGAGGGGAGCTGGAGGGACACACAGGCCAGTTTCCTTCTGGAACAGGCACCTGTTCTCAAAGGTGGAGAGTCCCTGTGAGCCATGGCTTTCTGGGCTGCAGCTTGTGGCTGTTGCCTCACTGGAGGGCCTTGGTGGCTTTTGAAGTGACTTCCAGCTTGGTATAGAGCGTGACTAGCTCTCTCTTTCACAGGCATCTTTTGTATGTTTATGTAATATTTCCTTTTCCATGGATGGACCTTGATATGAGTTACTTGAGAATACTAATACCCATTTCTTCTTGAAAAAAATTTATTATTTTTATTTAGTATGTGTGAATGTTTTGCCTGAATGAATGTACATGCACCACATGTACACAGTGCCCACAGGGCCTAAAGAGGATGTCAGAGTCCTTGGAACAGTGGTTATAAAGCTGCCATGTGGGTGCTGGGAACTGAGCCTTGGTCTTCTGCAAGAACAGCCAGTGCTTTTAACCACTGAGACATCTCTCTAATCCCATGGGTCATTTCTTTTCAATCATTTCTTACCTCCTTTTCCAAAGAGAAAGAAGAAAAAAAGCATTAAATGTCATGAATGGCAAGGGTCTTTGGGTCACTGTTGAGAAAACTGACCACAGACATTGAATTCCTCGAGTCTTGGCCACATGGGCATTTGTCCCCTTAGAGCACTGTCCTAAGTAGTCACTGCCAGTGGCCCTTACAGACATATTCTCTCGGAGGACCTCACTGAGGGACATCTTCCCTCTATCACTCTCCACACCCGCCTTGCCTTCTCCTTGTCTTCATCTGCTCCTGGGAAGCCAGTCGACCTACTGCTTCCCAAAGCAGACACCCAAGCTCTCCCTCAAGGCTGGTTTCTTCCCTTTTCTCCTACACAGTCCACCCTCACTCAGATCCTGTCACTCTCATGACTTCATTTCCCTAAGCATGACCCCAAATGCCTTCACCAGCTACCTCTGACTCCTATACTATGCCCCCTCTCACTAGTCCTAACCACACCAGCCTCCTCTCTAACACCCACAGCCGAGTCGGTATCTACTGCCCCCTCTCCCCAGAACAGTCTCCCCGCAGTTCACCCACTTCATTCAGGATTTTGTGCTCGAATGTTCTCCCTGGGTGAAGACTTTGAAGACCAGCCTCTGAGAAACAGCACTTCCCAGGATGTCCTTTAACTCTTCAGAGCAGTTGTCACCGGTCTGGACACCAGGCAGCATGCTTGTCTGTGCATCACCTCTCAGGCTGCCCAGAAGGGGAGACCCCTGACAGCAGGACCTCTTTTGTTCACCATATTCTCATCACCCAGATCAGAGCAAATGAACAGATGCCTATCAAGTCCCCAGCCCAAGGCTTAGTGCTTACATTGACGGTGATTCCTTCAGCATTTATCCAACTCTTAATGTGCCTGTGAGCCGTCCTGGAGTCTGGCAGTGCAGAGCTAAGTCCCTGTGTGTCCTCTAGTGGTGTACAGTGCAATAGTGAATGACAGAGGAGAGAGTCCTACACGCTTCTGAAACACATATGTGACAGGATCTCGGGAAGACAGTGTTTAAAAAGAGCAGTGGGAAGAGACCTGGTGGGAACTTTCCCCTCCTTTCTTTCTTCCTCCAGCCTGGGAGAAACAAGTCCAGCCAGGGAGCCTCATGAAGTCACAGGGAGATACATTGTCGTGAAAGCCCTACCCCAATCCCAGGAAACCCACCTATCCAAGCTAGCCTACTTCCTACAGTTAAAGGGGCAATGGGGGAGGCAACAGTATAGGGATCCTCTCACCCTTTGGTGTATTTTAAACACTCTTTCTGTGTAAGATTACCAGCTATGACATTCTGGCCATCAGAGAAATGAATCACGAGTCCCATTTTCCCTTCAGTTCTGCTGAAAACCCTTTAGCTGATTCACACTGAGAGGCCAATAAAAGATACATTACCCTTTCTCTGTCCAGATCTCCAGCCTCTTTCCAGTTCCTTAGTGACTTTGAAATAGAAATACACTAGTCTTAGAGGTGGGGCTTAGTTTTGAAGTCTGAGAGGGTGTTTGATCTCTTAGCTCCCGAGTAGCCTTAGATTGTTCAGTCACCATTGGGATGAACTGCAAGCCCTACAAATAACCTCAGGATTACACCTGTGTAGAACCGAACTAGAAACACTTAGCGCTAGCTACTATGAGAGATTTGTAGGCATATAGAAAGCCTTAGTATGGCTTCCTAGGTGGCTTTAGAGGTAGGATTTTCTGGTAAAATGTAGGACACCAGTTAAGTTTGAACGCATATAAATAATTTCTGTGAGTGTATGTCCATCCGTGCAATATCTGAGGTATTTTTAAGCCAAGACATTACCCCTTTAGCTGCAATTCAGGTTTAACAGGGCGTCCTGAGTTTTATTTGCTAACTTGGGCAACCCTAACCCAGCAAACAACCCCTTTGACACTGGAAGTCCCTCCTTCCATGAGTCTTTATAGTTTTGAGACCCCTTGCTGGGTCCTCCTTAGGCCGAGCACCGCCCTCTTTTCGGGGTTCTTATGCTCGGAGTGGCTGCGGGGGAAGCACTGAATATGAGAGGTCCCTTTATCTAAGACACTGACTTTTCTCATTTGAAAACATAAATCAGATTGTCAGAGCAGGAAAGCACGCTTTAAGTACCTCCTCGCGGAACCAAAAGTGCGAGCAAGGCAGGCTTTGGGGAAACTTTTCAACGTTGCTCCCAAGTGCCACAGTTCCGTTTTCGTGAGGTCACTTCCGCACCCCAAAACTCCTCGGATTCGAGCCATGTGCTCGTGCGCCCTCTGTCTGTCGGGAGGAGGAATCGACTTTCCCGGCCTGAAAAACTCTGGGAACCGTAGGTTGAGAGCAAGAGCAGCAGCTCTACACCCCTAACTTGCACTAGTGGAACCCTGAGCCTTCGCCGGGGACCCTGTCAACCCGGGATGGGAGCGGCATAGGGCACGGTCGACCTAGTCTTTGCCGGCTCAGAGATGCCTGGAACCCAGGCCCTGCTGGAAGCGGCCTTCTGGTCCCTCAGCTACCATTAAGTAGGAGCCTTCCATAGTCAAGAACCTCACATCAGTGCGGATGTCTCTGCTGCGTTCCTGCAGAAAACCGGACGAATTCTCCGTTTCCAGGCCAAGATACTTGGCATTTAAAAATAAGAATGTCAACTGTCAGCCCTGTCTTGCCTTGCCCTTGCCTTAACTCGCATTATTTCATTACACTTCACTACACAACCCGTGAAGTGAATTTTACTACAGATTCTCACCCTCACTGCCTGTGTCGCGTAATCTTAGTTTTACTGTTTCTTGGCAGCATCTTGCAGTGTAAGTTACTCTGTGCCACCATTTCTGTGTCGGTAAAATGGGATTATAGTACGTGCTTTATATGTTACTTAATTAACATATTTAAAACATACAGAACAGTTCCTGGTATATGGTAACCATTAGTGACTATCTAAGAATGAGGAAACAGAAGTTTAAAAATGAAGAAACTTGTCTAAGAATAGACAGGAACTGGAGGAGCAGGTTAGGGAGCGTCCTTGCCTAGCCCTAGAGAGTTCTCTGAGCTTGCCCAGTTTCTTTCTGTGTGTGTAGGCAGCTGGTGATAAGCATAATTGTCTTTATCAGTAGCATGTATAGTGACTTATTAGTACCCTATCACAAATGAATGCTCTGTAGACATCTTAACAACACCAATGGAGTTGGTGAGAATCTTGTATACCAAGACCTCATGCCAGGCTTCTGTAAGAAATGGGAATTGGTGGCTCCAAGATGCAATGCCAGCTAAATCCTAGAGAAGAAATAAATGGTTTCCTGAACATGTTAAATTTGTGATCCCCCACCCCCGTCTTGAAAAACCAAAACCAAACAAACAAAAGTGATCCCATGGCATGTTCAACAGGAGAGAGCTGTAATGTGGTGTGCTGCAGGCTGCTTTAGAGAAAAGGAAGACCTCCAAAGAATGTCCGACGCCTGTGCAGCCCAGAGCTGACTTCCAAAGAAGCAGTGACATTTCAAGGGAATGGCATGTGACGGGAATAGTGGCCTGATGATTCAAAGTCCTTGGGAGCTCCAGCACGGAACGGAAGGCATGAATGGGCTGGAGGTGGGGGGCGTATTATGAAAGAGTGTGTTCTGGGTGTTCAAGTGAGTCATCAGGATTTCTGAGCAGGGAGAGAAGGTGACAGATTTACCCTTGAGATGAGGAGGTCGGAGGCCTGATAAGACTGTGGCAGGCAGTCTCTAAGATTGTCACCAATGGTCCCACGCCCCTGGATCTATACCCTGCTTCCATTCTCTCTCCTGGAGTAGGGGCAGAATTTAATGATCCCATCTTAAAGGACAGAGTATGTTAGAAGTGATGACATCATGACTGAGTCTAGATTTCCTCTTAGGTGCCTACTCTTCTCAGGGGGAAGATGTCAGCCATGTTATTATGAACTGTGCTGCGGGCAGGTCTGTATGTCTAGAAACTGATGCCTTTGACCAGTAGCCGGATTTGCAATCTTCTAACAGTCAGATGCATGAACATGGAAGTGGACTCGCCTCCAGGCTGGGTTTGGTATCATGGCAGCGTAGACTAAGAGCTTACTGCAGCCATGTGATAGGCCGGAATCAATGAAACCTGGTTAAGCTGTATCTAGGCTCTTGACTCACAGAAACTGGAATTTTAAGTTTTGCCTACTTTCAAGGCAAAAATGTCACACAATAAATTCTTCTACAGAGATTAGATGCACAGAGTATGCAGGAAGGCTAAGGACCAGAGCAGAGATGATAAAGCTTGAACTGGGCAATGGCTGTGAGGGTGAAAAGCAGGATCTGACACCGAGGAACATTAGGGAAAAGAATGGAAGGCATTCGTCAGTGGAATTAGATGGAGCAAAAGGAGATGACAAGAGAGATTGACACTCGTGTTTAGTAGTATGCGGGATGGAATCTGAAGCATTCCCAGCATCCGGGTCACTGGGGATGAGTTTTAAAAGGCATTCCTTGCGAACTCCTGCAACAAGAAGATAAAGCAACAGTGGAGACTCAGGGATGGGCAAAGAGAAAACAGTCACTGTGCTCCAGAGTAGACAGAGCGCAGAAAAATAGAACAGAGATGGTCAGTGCCGGAGGGAACTCTTTCCTCAGTGAGATTTACTTAGTCAAGTGTGTAGTGTAGTGTGTTCGGTTTCCCTCAGGTCACGTATCCGGCATGTACTGACCAAGTGCCTTCTGTAACAGCTCTGCTTCAGGTACTGGGGACACAAAAGTGGACACGAAACCCCTTGCCTTCATTGCATTCATCACTTGGTCTCAGATGAAAACAATAAGACTTTTAGTTTGTGGGTGCCACTCCAAGGCTGTGTAACAGTTTTAAACTTTAGAGTATTTTGGTACGAGCCTTCCAATGCTGTCCTCCCCATTTCCAGACCTTTTCCGAAGATCTTGCCCTCTCTCCATTTCTGCCTCTCACTACAGTGGCATGCGCTAAACAGTGCCGTAAATCTAATTCTCTGAGCAGCATTTTCTGTGTTTCCAGTTATTCTCTCTTGTAAGCTGACTCCACCTCATCAACAGCGGGTGCTGCAATGAGTCCTACATTTTGTGTTAACTCTCGCCATGTTACTATCTTTTCTTCCAATTTTATAAGTCAGGATAGGCTAGGTGGTGCGGTAACAAACAGTCCTGACATTTCAGTGGTTCAGATGGGAAGGTTTTTAAAAAGGGCATCTATTTCTTGTTTATACTACTTAAACACTATGGGCCTTCTGAGTCCTTTAGAGACTCCCGTGATGGAGGAAGCCAGCACTCCAAATGCTGGCCACTATGTCAGAACTAGTAAACTTGGGAGTGTCTTGTTGGCAATTGCTCCATCTAGGGCTTAGCACCAACAAATTGAGCCAAATCAGGCACATGGCACAGCCAACCTTAAGTGGGCAGAAGAGTGCTTTTCTACTCATTGTTTAGAAGTAGGGCAAAGAGGTGAGATGGGAGAGCTGGATTAGTTATGAACAGCATGGCGAGGTTCTTATGCCAGCTTCAATTACACGGGTGGTCTTTGTAACCACTCTGTTCCATTAATCCTCACCTCCCTCCCCTCCCTTTCATCTCTCAAGCTCTTAGCCAAACTCCAACCCAGTTAAATACAACCTTGTCCACATCCATGCAACTGAAAAGACTTCCGACTTCAGCCCTTCCGCCCCATCCAAGATATTTTTTCGTTTTTTTTGTTTGTTTGTTTTTTGGTTTTTGGTTTTTTTGCCTACTACTCTACGCGGATCTATAGTGGACAGTGGAAGATTGTGTGTGGGTCGTCCTGCAGGCCGCCGGGGGGCGCTGACAGACGGTAACGGAACTACTTGCGGTGCCGGGCCGGGGAATCGAACTCTGGTCCTTGGGCGGAGCGGTCGGGCGCTCTACCCCCTTCATCCAGCTTCATCTCCAGCTTCATCCAAGATATTTTTGGGGGAGAACTGTTCCAGGTTCTC